CCTCTTGCCTCAGGCTCCTAAATAGCTGAGACTTAGGCCCCTGCCAACATGCCCAGGTGATTTTTCTATTTTTAATAGAGGCAGGATCTTGCTCTTGCTCAGGCTGGTCTTGAACTCCTGAGTTCAAGTGATCCACCCACCTCAGTCTCATAGACCACTAGGATCACAGGCGTGAGCCACCATGCCTGGCCCATTAAAGAACTGGCATTATTTTAACTGCAAGTGGTTGATAGTTAATAATGCAATAATTACCCCCTTCCAGAAAACTCAAGCAAGAAGATAGGACAAGGGCAAGTGATTTGTACAAAATAGGGGGATGCCTCTCACTTCTGGTGCTCTGTGGTTCTGAGAGCCAACACTTTCCTAAGGCTGCTTTGCCTATTTAAAGATATGAGACCCTCTGGAAATATCAGATTTCTGCAAATAAATGGCAAACAAATAACCAGTGTTTCAGACCTGTAAGGATAGGGCATGCATGCAAATAGATAATAAGTTGGGGTTTTCTTTCTTTTGTAATTTGATCTTATTTCCCAAATCCTTGGTAGCCATCTTGGTCCTCCTTCCACCTAACTCTTCTCCAGAATATCCCTGGCAGGATATTTTTACTGAGATAGTAATTTATGAGGTTTTATATCTTGTCCATCTCAAGGCTTTGTATGTTACCTTGCCTCAAGGGCCAACTGTGGCCAGACCAAAAACAGGAATTGCCTTAGTTGTGCAAATCTGAGCACACTGAGGTGTTTCTTGAAGCGTGGTCTGCAGGTTTGCAGGGGTCCCTGAAATCCTATCAGGGAGTCTGTAATGTCAAGACCAATGACAAAATAAGAGAAAATTTTGCCTTTTTATTTTGCTAACTTGCACAGAAGGCTCCATATAAACTGGGAGAGAGGAATCAAATCCCTGGCACTTTAGCAAGAACCATGGCAGTGGCAGCAAACAGAACAGTAAACAATGCAGGCCAATGTTTCAGTTCTGCCTGATGCACAATCCCACAGAGCCAGCACTGTGAAAATTGTTGGAGTCACAAGCTGCTCAATTCCCACCACCTTCCGAACAAGGAATTCTGGCAAACTCACCCACTTGCAATGTGCTTTCAGGGCTGGGGACAGCAGCTTGCAGGTGAGCAGGACCCTGTGGGTGGAGATAGGTGTGCTAGCTGGGAACAGTGACAAGATGCTGATAGTGACTGACCCCAGAGAACACTTCTGCAGTCATGGACAGAGGCCTAGCTCATTGAATGCCTCACACCTGGGGTGTCCCCTGCACAATCCAGATCCCGAGGCTGCCTGTGTGCTTTCTAAGCTCATGTCACAGTACTAAATGTGCTACTTTTACTGGGCCAACTCCAGGGTTTAAAAGCCTGCAAAACAGATCAGGAGCAGAATGGCATGGAGCAGAGCACATAAATACCCACCCATAGAGTCAATACCGGAATGCCAGCTGCTCAGCTATAGACAAGATTCTATCTTGCCATGCTGTTCTTCTGTAATCCAGATCCCAAAAATCTATGCCTCCATTTAAATAGCCATGTACACCCAGTGGCCACTCCACTGGGATGGTCCACTTTGCATCTCCCAAAGCAGTTCTTATAGTAATTGCTGGTTTCTTCCTCTGATCCACCAGATAACCCCTCTGACCTTGGGCTCAGCACTGACTTCCACTGCTGGACAGTGGCTCTTCCCTACTGCATCTCCAGTGATGCACGTGTGTTCATAACATGCCTAAGCCCAGTCAGCCCCAAGCTGAGCCTACAGAAAAGACCTGTGTGCCCTTGGCAATGGTATCAGAGGAGAGAAGATCATGAAATGAAGGGTGGGGGGTAAAACTGAGGCAAAAGGAAAAGTCAACACATTACAAAGAATATGTTACTAAGTAGGCAACCACCACAGGCATCTGGAACTTGATCCCAGGACCCTCTGAGAGGACAGAAAAGGGTGTCACAGAAGGGTTTTCCCTGCTAATGAAGTGGGGAAGCATTATGCATCTACTCGTGCCCTCCAAGAGTGAAGCCAGGCGGCTGGGCATCACCGTGCTGACTGCCAGGCTTACACATCCACAGCTTCATCTCAGCTCCCCATCTCTGTGGGGCCATGCCATCAGAGACCCTCACATCAGGAGGTGCAGAGTCCTAGGCTGTGTGCAGGGATGGTCAACATAGGTGTGACACTCAGAAGAGCAAGACACAATTTGCAGAGTGCCTGAGGGGCACCCGAGGCTGCCCACAAACAGGTCCCAGAAAGGTCCCAGGACAACAAGGTTGGAAGAGCAGCAGCCTGAAGCCACCAGGGAAGGAAACCAGAGGGAAAAACAGGTATCAGGGAAGCTGGGCCACTTCCAGAGCCCACTCAGTGAGTCCCTAGAATGCCAAGGTGACATTAGTCAGTTCACTCACACTGCTGATGAAGAGACAGACTCTTCTCCAATGGGCAGGGAGAGTCAGAGCATGTGACCAAACCAGCAGGAATAACAGGGCTGGGGTGGGATGAGAAGTTCAGGAAGCTGGTGTTAGAGAGACTTTTGTTAGGGTGAATGAGGCACCAGGTAGGGAAGGGCAGGAGAGAGCCCACCTAGAGAAGAAACATGGGGAATGAGAAAGGCATTTCCTCTAGAACCCAGGTGCAGAATTGAAGGAGAACATGAGAGATACCCAGTTTCACCGAGAGGCACAGGAAGTGGACTTCTCTGAGATAAGAATCCCAGTCACAGTGGGGTCTTGCCAGACATCCCTGTCGGGGGGCACCTGGACCCAGCCCTAAAGGACAGCTGATGTGATACCTAGAACTTGGGTGTGTCAGTGACCTTGGCACCACCCAAAGGGAGGAGGCTGGTCAAATGCTGGCAGAGAGGAAAGGGGAGGGGTGGGAAAGGGCGTAGAAGCTTCCATTTCTTAGTGAACCCTAACACTCCTCTCAGATCACCCCACGAGGCCTTCACAAGACAGTGAATCATTTTCCAGAAGCAGCCTGTGGTTCCTCTTTCTTTCCTCCCTCTTTCTCTTTCTTCTCTCTACCTTTCCTTCTCTCTCTCTATCTCCTGCCCTTCTTCCCTCCCATGAACATGCAGATCATTCAGGAAATCACGACTGCCTACCGACTGAGCACCCACACACCAGGCACTGTGTGAGGGTTAAGGGCCACTGGCTTGGCAAACTGGTAAGGGAGCTGATGGTGGTGGCCACACCCAAGGGACCCGGGATGGGATCAGGCTACAGTGAGGCAGTGGCAGGGAGAGCTGACCACACAGATCAGTTTTAAAGATGTCTGGATCTCCTGGGGGAGATTCAGTAAGTCGTTGTGTATGGAGGGCCAACTGGGCTAGTGACATCTGGTCCATCTAACCATGATCAGAGGAAATGGCTGATACATAAACACAGAGAGTTGGAGCTCTCTTGTCCCTGTGTCCCTCACAGAGAGGCAGGTCTGCCGCATGTCAGACAGTCCTGTCAGTCCTGAGAGTCCATCCACTGTGCCTGGTCAACACAGCATCTGAAAGTTCTCTACAGAGTGAAGACACCTTATCTCCTCAGCAGGCATTTTGCCTTTCATATCCTCTCCCAAGGCTGCATCCACTACCAAACGGGTGGTCTGTTGATTCAATATTGCCACCTTCACTATAGCCTAGCAGAAAAACCAGAAGTGCCCTTTGTTTACCTCCACATCCCATTTGGATAGTAAATGCTGAACAGGATCAATTTGAGCTAAATATTAGGGTTCTAACCAAGAGGCATGGCTGTTTCTGATCCTAGCAGTGCATGCTTCCTCCTGACTTAAGCCTTTACCATTCTCAAGGCCTCTGCCCACAGCAAACACACCAGAGAGGATGGGCAGCAGGGACAGGCCCAGGTGATAGCATTGTCTCAGACAGTAAGGATCAAAAAATGTTAAGCCTGAGATTTTCATTACAAAGGCTGGAATGAAGGTAGAGCAGCCTTCCCAAAATCCATTTCCTTATGACAGGACTCATTTTCTGTATAAAAATCCAGCTGGCCCCAGACTCTACATCAGACAAGAGAGGCCAGACAGCTCAATCTTCTGAGGTAAGACTCCCCCATTCCTAATGTTCACTCAGTGGTATTTCATTTTAATTGGGATCTCTTTGCCACACTAAGACTATATTTATTTTAAATGCAATTGCACTTTGGACTTACGAGTCCTAAAGTTGATCGTTTTGACTTCCCACTCAGATTGCAGCTTTGGGATTGAGGACCAGAAAGGAAGTTATTTCTTCATAGAATGCCATTCAGCTAACAGGAAACATTCACTGGACTCCATGTCCATAGCACCTTTAGAGATATTTTAATCATTTCCATAATTTTATTAAGAATTTTCAGTATCAAAGGCAATTTGAGTGTCAAAAGTTAGATTTTTCTTTGCTGTATAAGCCTGTAATTAATTAGAGAACATGATACATGCTCAAAATCTGCAAGCATCCCGTCCAGAGAGTGATCAGTAAGGAGGGCAAAGCAAGTTCTGTGCTGAGGCAAATGAGGAAGATGACTTTGAATCTGGCAGAAAGCATCAGGGAGGATGGGATGTGGTTGAGTGTGCATGGGCAACAGCGAGGGTTTTGTTTGGAGAGCCTTCCAAAAATCCTGTGCTAAGGGGGCAGTGTGAACAGAGGCTCACAGCAGCATGGTGTGGCCTCAAGGGCAAGTTTACATAAAATCTCCCTTTGGGTAACACTGCGCTCCATGCAGTAGATGTGAGAGAGCAGACTCACCTTTCCATAAAGGGCAGCCTGGGGTTCCTCAGCTACACCAGGAGGCTGTGTGGGAGCTGTTGCTAGTGAGGCTTTTACACGCACGAGGAGGCGGGGCACAGAGAAAGGCACCAGTCCCCTGGAACAGAACGAGTCAGCTTTGAATTTCTTAGGAAGCAGAAAGGACAAGAAGAATGACCCCCACATGTCAGGGAGCATGTAATAAGACGAATTTGACTTCCTTCCTATTTAATCAAACCACTGAATGAGCTTCTCTGTCTAGGTCCAGCATCCTTTGAAGCATGAGTTCCTACCAGCAGAAGCAGACCTCCTCTATCCCACCCCCTCAACTTCAGCAGCAGCCGGTGAAACAACCCTGCCAGCCTCCACCTCAAGAACCATTTGTCCCCATAACCAAGGAGCCCTGCCCCCCAAATGTTCAACAATCTGGAAAAACCAAGGTTCCAGAGCCAGGCTACCCCAAGGTCCCTGAACTAGGATGCATCCCACCCCCTGAGCCTGGCTACACCAAGAACCCTGAGCCACACCCAACAATTGTCACTCCAGGCCCAGCTCAGCAGAAGACCAAGCAGAAGTAATGTGATCCACAGCCATGCCCTGGGTGACCACCAGATGCTGAATACCCTCTTCCCATCCACTTCTGCATCCAGTCTGTGGATCTTACGTTCAGTCTGTTGCTATCCTGAGTCATAGTCTCTTCCTTACTTGTCTCCTAAAATATGCGCTAAGGAGCTTCTCCTGACACACACTCTGAAGAGTCCTCTGAGCCTCTGAGTTCAGCAGAAGGCCTTCGTGGCTTGTTGGTCTTCAGCTGCTCAAGGGTCATCTGAAAAGGAATTCTTGATGGGAAGAAATGCATGTTTCCTGCTGTGCATTCATTAAATCACTTTTAACTCCACTCTTGGCTATGTGTGTCATTGGCTAAATCTTCCCTCTTCCCTGTTCTCTCGTTGTGAGTCAGGACCTGCAGACAAGAGCTGCCACAGAGTCGTCTGTCTAATCCTAGTACTATATACTTCTATGAGCACATAGAGGTACACCTAGGGGGCATTCCTAGAATGGCAGTGGACATTGTATAAATGTACCCAGAGCCTGTCATTTTGAGCCAATACACCTGGACCAAGGCCCTCCTATTACTGGGAACTGAGTCATGCCTAAGTGCCACGGTGCCTGCTCCAGGCCACCTCTGATCTTCAGTATCCTGCCCAAGAGGAGACTGCAAGAATAAGCTTTTCTCCAACGTACTAGAATGTCTCCATTCATTATTCTTTATCCCCAACACATACAGATCCGCACACATCCATAGAGGCACACTCTCTCGGAGTCATGACATCCATGTGCTTCTTACACAATCACTTAGATGCCATACAATATCTCTCTCTCCACCACTTGTCCTTGTCTCTCTCTCCCACTGAGTAACGCACAGAAAGAGTTTTATCTGGTGATTTCAAACAGGAGGTGAGTTTTAAGCAGGTATTGATCTGATCTAGGTGAGGTGGATAATCAATCACAAAGTTGGAAAAGAGCAGGACACCAAGCTAAGTTCAGGAGCAAGAGTCTTCAGGAGCACCTAGGAAAGCCCTTATATTTTTCGACTAAAGAAACTTATGCCTCAAAGTTAATTAAGGTAACCCAGAAATTATGTTTCTGTTTAACACTAGAGCCTAGCCCCCTCACTCTCCCCTGTAGCCTGGTCCTCCTGACTTCAGAGGTGACCAGCAGATGGCAGGTCTGTGTTCAGTAGCTCTGGGGTATTGAAGAACTGTCTACTAGCAGCAGAGAAAAGGACATCAATTTCAAAAGGGCTGCAGTCACTGAGGAACAAACTCCATTTCTTTTTCTTTTTTTTTTTTTTCAGGTTAATATGAGGGTACACATTTTTAGGTAACCTTGTTTTCACTTCTGAGGTAAAGTTCAAGTTGTAGTTGAGCCCTTCATCAGGAGTGTGCTGTGTATACTCACATTGTGCACTTGAGATGAGATCCTGCCAATCACATTTAATGTTTACTGAGATGTTGAGTGGTTTATGCCTTCTCCCAGCAGTGCGATGGATTTGAGGACAGTATACACACTACATACTTCAATCCCAGATCTCTCCTATCCTTTGGGAATACCCTGAGCCTGATCCTTTCATAAACCTCATTATCCTCCCTCTACATCTAAGGCAGAGGTTCTCATCATAGCAAACTCCTGCACTTTCCTGTCTGTACCTGCAAACTCCTGTAAAGAGGTGTCCAGTGTCTTTCAGAAGATTAGGAACAACTCAAGGACAGGTTACCTCTCCCTAATCTAACCAAGAGTCTCCCAAGTGGTGTGCTGTCCTTTCTGGTATAAACTTTATGGAGGCAATAGGGGTTTAGAAACAGAAGATCCCATACAACTTTCATACCAAAAAATTTGTAAGAAATGTAGAGTTTTCTAGAGCCATGAGACATAAGATTTAATTAGCAACAGCATTTTAGTCTCTATTTTTATGAAATATAAGTTGTAGTTTTATTTTTCTATAATTATTTTTAAAAATTCATATACTTATTACAATTTTTTAAAAATAAAAGAGGTTTGTGAGCATTTTGTTATAGATCAGCTAATAATGATACTTTTGTCATGTCATTTTCAACCTGGATATATTACACTTAAAAATGAAAACCATATTTGAAAACTCTTCAAACTATAGTGCACATAACTATTTTTATTTATTTAATATTTTTGCTACATTCAAGTAAGCAATGTTCTTACCAGTAAAACAAAGAAATAATAATAATCAAACAAAACTTGCTCTTCACATTGTGTACTTGTCAGGATAGGTTATCTTCTGTGACAAAAATGCCCCAAATATCTGTGTTTCATACCATAGTATTCTATCTTTTTGTAAGCCATAATTACTGTGGGTCTCCTGGGACTCAGATTCCTTCTGTTCCATGACTCATGGTCTTCAGCAGGCACTCCTTCCACTGTCATCTACTGTACACAGAGAAAGAAGTGGGAAGGAAGCATATAATCTCTTACCTCCCTGGATACAGAGGTGACAGTCTGTGTTTCCAGTGATGCATTAACTGTAAGCCACCCAACTATATATGGCTGTGTGCCCTGAAATAGAAGAAAATAGAATGTTGATAAGTTCTCACAGTTCTATCATAGTCCAACCTTGGCTGCCAAGTGTTTATTTTCTTTCTTCTTTCTACACATGGACACATTTACCTCTTCTCCAAGAGAGACAACTCACAGTCCAGTGCAGTCACTGTGTCCACTTCAGAGTCCAGGATCTCTGTGTGACCTATAGTCCTCTCCATCATGTCCTTGCCATATGGCTATTCTTGGTCCAGCAAACTAGGCAGTAGAAAGAGCCACCCACTGCCATAATCCAGGTTGCAGTGGTGAAACAGAGACTGGATAACCTCAGTAGAAACTTCCCTAGGGAAAACAGAATTAAGGGAGATATCCAGTATCTGATCCATAGGAATGCTGAAATACCTCTGAGCAGACGCTGAAGTTCACCCTTTTATCAGAGGTGATGGAAATTCTTTGATAGAACATTGGCTGCACTGTCTGGAAGGCACTTACCCTCTGGGTGCAGTTCATCTCCCATTAGCCTCCCCTGAAGTGGATTGTGTGTCCTCTTCTGGGGCAGTGCAATTCCAGCTGCTCTTGCTGTTCCACACCACTTATGGACTTTGAATGAGTTTATGTTTTTTTAGGCAAAACAGTGTCATCATAAATTTAGCAGCCTCCCAATTTGCCTCCACTCAACTCCCTTGATGATAACTCTGCCCAAAGTTCTTTTCCTTGACCTAATTCTCAAGCAAAGCTCGTTTCTTTGCCCTTTTGGCTCCATTTCTTTCTTTCCTGAGGGTACTGCTGCTGCCCAGTGCCCTCAAAACAACACAGATAGAAACACTACATCTTAACCTTGTTTGGGTTTTTTTTTTTGTTTGTTTGTTTGTTTGTTTGTTTTGAAACAGAGTCTCATTATGTTGCCCTGGGTAGAGTGCTGTGGTGTCACAGCTCACAGCAACCTCAAACTCTTAGACTTAAGCAATTCTCTTGCATCAACCACCCAAGAAGCTGGGACTACAAGCGCCTGTCACAACACCTGGCTATTTTTTTGTTATTGTTGTCATTCTTGTTTAGCAGGCCCTGGCTGGATTTGAACCTGCCAGCCCTGATGCATGTGGCCAGCACCCTAACCACTGAGCTACAGGCACTGAGACAGCAAAGATTATTCCTAATGGGTCTTTGTTGTTCTTGGTCTTGTCTCTTTGCCTTGCGATTTAGAAGTAGCCAATTCTTGTCAAGTTTTCGTATTCTGTTCCTCTTCATTCTCCTTTAAAATTGTCCATTTTCTTTATGAAAATGTCAAAGAAAGCCAGTAGTAACCAGTGCTTGCCAAATATCTTCATCTTTTCAATGACTACAGGATTACTGGACAAATAGTTTGCTTTTCAAAATAACAGGTAACAATTTTACTGCAAGTTTTATGTCCTTTAGCCTAACTTTTGGGAGGTGCTAAGGAATAACAGAGGCATCCAGATGCCCAGTAACACCAGGAGCCCTTGATTCCAAATACATGTAAAGCCAATATTGTCACATTGTCACTACATGAAGGGAGGAAATTTTTTGGCTGAGACACCAAAGAAAAGAACTATAGTGAGTTACAAGCCAGGATTTTGGGTAGGAAACCACTGAGGACCTTTATTGGGTCCTATGTAACGAAAAGATAAGACATGTGTCATATGACTATTAACAAAGAGGACATTAGTATAATTTTCTATAATATTCAGTTACTCTCATACCAGCATTCCTTTTATAATAACCTCAAAACCCTATACTGTAATATTTAACATAATTTTATAAAATGATCTTTTTAAATCAAAGTTCTATATTGTGAAGAACTAAAGTCTGCTGAAAGAGCATTTTCTTGGTAAGTAAACTCTCTGTCCCCAAAAAACTCTTGTATACAATACAACATCAATCCATTCTTACATAGATAACCATCCCCTTGTAGAACAGAAATTCTCAAAAGCAAGAAACTCCAAGGAATGTAACATTTTGGCACCTGCAGAGACTTCCTTAGTGCATTATGTTCTGAGCTGTTTCAGCACACTGAAGTGCTTTCAAGGGTGGGTGGAAGAAGCAAGATCCATCTTGTCCTACAGATAGTGAATAGCAGGGAGCAAATGCAGAGAGCAAACTTGTTCTTTAGCCCCCACCCCTTTCCCACCTACTCTTCCACCCAGCTGCAGTGTCTCTGGAACATCTCAGGCAGGCCCCAGGCTCAGAACATCTGCACTGGACATTCTCTTGACTAGGAACTCTCTTCTCACAGAAATCCAGATAGCTGATCACTTCCTTGGTGTACTTTCAAATGTCACCTTCTCAAAGAGGGCTCATGACCACCACCAATCGCACCTCTTTGGTGCTCCCAATTGCTTACAGCACTATTCCTTTTTCCATAGCCTTCAATATATAATTCACACAGGCATCACAGTCCTTTATTATTTATTTTCATCTGCCCCTATAATGTGTGAACTCCTCCAGGGTCAGAAATCCCAAAAGTCCAGAACATGATTTGACATATTATAGGCATTTGGTAGTCACTGGAATGAATGAATTGAAGTTCCTTTTTTCTACATCTGAAAAATCCTCAGGTTTTCCTGTAGCCATCAGCAATCCGTTCTAACTGCAATGTTGAGCAGGTCCTCCAGTGCAGAGTATATACTTCGGTAGGGAGGTTCCAGGACATGTCAGCACCAGAAGCTCCTGACTTGTCATTTCAGATGACTCATACTTAGCTTAAGAAATAACTGATCCTGCCCAATCTTGGGATATTCCACTTCCCTCTACGCGGAGCTGTAATCTCGCACATGGTTAAGCATGAGTTCTTGGTATTCATGTCTATGTTGGAATAATGAGATTATGTTTTGAAACTGAAAGAAAGAAGAATATATGATGTTTTTGTGCTTTTTCTCATGTGGTAGGGAGAAGATTTAGATATTGTGTAATATGACTTTGCTTTCTTTTATGGTGCATTTTTTTTGAAATGTACATGGAGAAGAAAGTTAGGTAGATGGCATTAAAATGAAGAGAACAGAGTCTCCATTTGAGAGAGAATTCCTCCATGTTGCCTTCAAAGAACAGTGAACTGAACTTTGTCATTGTCCCCAAGAAGCATTTACTTCATTACCAGAAGCTGTTTAGTTAAAATAAACTTCATTATAGATAAAGAAAAAAATTATTGTGATTATAATTTCAAAAGTTTAGTCTTTCTTCCTTAATGTTTTTCCTTAATTTATACAATGTTCTTTTCTACCTAAGAAAAGATGCATTTTCTTCAAATAATACCATACAGAGGAAAAATATTTATAGTAAAATAAAAATTTCTGTAAGGAAAAATGCTAAATAGGAAGGGAAGGGAAGCAACCCTATGCCATAATGGTTTTAAGAGCTAAAAATATATCTTCACAGGCTAGACAAGTACTACCCTACCATATAAGATAAACTATTCCCTTTAGCCCTGAAGGAGACCCTCTATTAACCACCGCTACACAATCTCTCATCAGTGACTACCTCCCTAGTAGCCACCTACACCATGTCTATGCAAGACCTACTCTTTGAAGCCACCTTCATCTGGCCACCAGCAACATGTTCCTCAAAGTAAGAACAACCTCTGAAGTTGCAAAGGCCAAAACATCACAAAGAAAAATGGAACCTGTCTCTCATGGCACCCCCATCAAAGTCCCTTCAAAGCCTGTCATGGAGAGAGATGGCATCTTCACCAAGCTTCAGCCTCTGCTCTCTCTAGGATGAGGTTAAACAGAGAAGGCCTTCTTTCTTGAAATTTCTAGTATGCAACATTCCAGGAATAAGCTGAGCAAAGATCATCCTCAGCCACATTCATCTTTCCAGAGTCTCCAAAGAAGGAATTTTTCGAATTTCTTGCACTGACTCTCTGTGCTCTGGACCTTGATTCCCATCTTCTGATTGTATAGTGTTTATATATCTGATTCCTGGTTATCTTAACCGCATTTATCCAGTAAGTTGTGCCTGACACTAAAGCCTCATGGACAGGAAGTTTATTTGGGAAATGTGGTCTTGGGGAAGTAGAATAATGGACAAGGGGGATCTGAGAAGGAAGGTCTCCATTCCAGGAGGCATTGTCTTTTTACACATCACCAAGAACAACTGATGGTCAAGCCCATGGGACTTCTTAAGGATCTTTATAAAAGGGTTTAAGAACCCCTTTGACCTGGGAATAAGGGCAGGAAGTGTTATACACAGCAGTCTTTCACTCCCCTTCACTCACTCCCCCATTTGTCAAGTCTGGGCACACGTGCTTTAATTTTAAACTTCATAGTTGTATACACAGGAGCATGCTGCGTTCCCCTGTTGCACTGCACAGCAGTGTCATAAAATCCTGGGACTTTTGAAGAGAGGGGCACACAGAAGGATCCTGTAGAGAAGCTTTGTCAAGAGCTTCTGCACATAGCTTATCTGGGCCTACACGAAAAGGGCCACAAGGCAGGCACCCAGCCTCAAATCTGAGGTTCTAGTCAGCAAGGCCTTTACTGTGGTGGAAGGGAGGAATTGGGAGCAGGAAGGTTGCCTTAGGTCTGAGAATCCCACCATGTTAGCAACAAAGCACACTTGGAATTCCTCTTGTAGGGTTCACAGGGAAAGGGGTTGAGAACATGCTTGTAAGAGACCTTAAACCTAGACATGGCAGCATCAGTGGTCCCAGCTCAAAAGGAGGTGACTGCTTAAACTCTAGCAGGGAGAAAAAGAAATAGGTAGGGAAAGTAACAAGCATCTGGCTCTAGCCTGACTTCTCTTCTCATAGTGTTAGCTTGTCACAGGGAAGTACTTCCCTTATAAGAAAGCTCTTGGTAGCTCTCAAAGTGGCCTCTGGTATCTCTTTACAAATAACAGCATCCATCCACCTATCCCTCCAACCACCTATCCATCCATCCACCCATCCACACATCCACCCATCCACCCATCCATCCATCCATCCATCCACCCACCCATCTACTTACTCTGTAATTGTCAATTCTCTGAGCATCTACTAACCCCCAGGTACCATATGGAGATAGAGGAAGAACAATGGCTGGGGAAAGAGTGGGAGATGACATAGCTGTGGAACCAGCAGGTACTCCATAAACATTTAAGTGAGCAAAATAATGATGGAAGGGCCATCCAAAAACTTCAGTTTGAAGGGTTGTATATTATAGACATGCCTGGATTAAGTGACCTCAGCTTCATCTTATCTTGAGCAGAGTGAGCTATGGCTTAAGGACACAGGGAATCCCAGCTCTCTTTTTTCTGTTTTGACCACAAAGAAGAGAGCTCCATGAGAGACAGGTCTTCAGGGTCTGCTGTCACATTAGACAGGATAATTGAGTGGGCTAGAAGGGCCAGATTGCTCCAGAGCTGCCGAAACTGACAATCTTCCCAGAGTTTTACTGCTCAGCACTGGTCTTCACTGGTTGATATCTCCCTGCCCTTCCTCTGTTGACTCTGAGTCTTTTCACGGACAGAAGGCCTTTTAGAGAGAAAAGAATCATTTTCGCCTTCATTCTCCTTTTGCCTTCCAAGCCTCAGTATATTGAGCAATAGACGAACAGAATTATTGCTTTTTTCCTGAAACAATTCAGGACACCATGTCCTTGACCTCCTAGTAGAACTGGGAATACATACTGTGTATCTCCATATCTACTTCAATATTAAGAAGTTTGACAAACCTCCCTGTGCTAAGGATTAGGGCATTCCAGAAAAACAAGCCTGTTTCTGGTTCCAGCAGCCCTAAAACTTCTTCCTTCTCACTCTTTTAGACCATACCACCCTCTCTATAAACATTACACCTAGTTACATACGTTGCTCACTAGGGATAGGGCCCAGGTGACACCCTTGTGAGACAGAAAATGCCAAAAGAAAAAAGAAAAAAAAAGTCAAGGAGGTAGCTTCATCACAAAAGATGAGTCAACAGGTGGATGAGAGAAGAGGGGTGAATCATGTCTGACAGGTAAGGAAGACATAGCAGCCCCAAAATGTCCCATTTCCTGGAGGCAGGGCTATTCTCTGCATAAAAAGCCAGGATCCTGAGAACACCACACAAGATCTGAGTGACACAGCCTGTCCGTCTCTCTACACCAGGTGAGTCTCTTTACTGGGAAACTTTTACCTTCCATTCTAGGTATTTGATTTTTATGACAGCCTTGTTGACATTCTTAGTGTCTTTTTTCCCTCCTTATCGAAATTCAGTCATAGCCATACAGACTGCTCATTGGAATTATAACCTCTAGGAATCATGGTGTGGGCTTGAACGGTCATGTGATATTATTGGTCTCCTGTGTTGGTAAGAAAGGACAGGCTTGTGCAAGGATTCAGAGTAAGTTAGCATCAGATAAGAACCAAGGTCCATAGCACTTTTACTGACATTGTAATTGTTTTTTATTCATAATTTGAATGCAAACAATTTTATTCTTTCAACAAATTATTTTGTGATAATTTACCACATTGGGCACTTTGGTTATGAAGAAATAATTCAGGCAGTAGGAAATTTATTCCATAAAAATACAATTTATGCAGGAGAATGAGGGTTAAAATGTAATATAAGAAGTTATCAGTGCCAGGTGATAAGGTAAATGTTTGGGGGGACAGAGAAGATTTCTGAAATCTTGCTCTAGAAAAGTCACCAAGAGGACCACATGAAGGGACCTGTGGTAGTTGGTACTACCTAAATAGACAGAAATGAGAAAAGCACAGGAGCCAGCTTAGAAGTATGATCATTTGGGCATCTAGAGAGGTCTGGGTTATCCTTTTGGTGGTAGCCATGCTTTTTAGCAGAAATAAGTTAGTTGATTGGAGGAATTGTTTCGTTGGGTTTTTTTACCCAAATAACATCACATTTCCTCATGATCTAATATTGCGAGTTTCATATTCCTGCTAGGAGCCTATTGCCATGCCATGTTGCTAATTGGGCTTTAAGATGTGTAGAGTGCCAAGAGACGCCCAGCTCAAGTGGAGCAGAGCAAAGTACCTTTAAGTTCATCCCCTTCAAAGGTTCAGAAATTATCAAAGTATTCTTTGAGGGAAAGGGACAAAGAGCATTTGCTTTATAAGAGACCTAAAGTGACATTGTCATTCCCTGTTTAATTGATCCATTTTGTCTCTAGCACCAGCCACTGTTGAAGCATGAGTTCCCAGCAGCAGAAGCAGCCCTGTACCCCACCCCCTCAGCTTCAGCAGCAGCAGGTGAAACAGCCTTGCCAGCCTCCACCCCAGGAGCCCTGCCACCCCAAGATGCCAGAGCCCTGCCACCCCAAGGTCCCTGAGCCCTGCCACCCCAAGGTCCCTGAGCCCTGCCACCCCAAGGTGCCTGAGCCCTGCCACCCCAAGGTGCCAGAACCCTGCCCCTCAACGGTCACTCCAGCACCGGCCCAGCAGAAGACCAAGCAGAAGTAATGTGGTCCACAGCCCAGCCCTGGAGGAGTCGAGCACCAGATGCTGAGCCCCCATCCTGCTCTGTTTATGGGTCCCATCTCCCTGTTGACCTTGAAATTAGGATGTTGTCACCCCAAAACAAGTGCTATGAAGCTTTCCTTCATATATACTCTGAGCTTCTGAATTAAATTGAAGGTCTTAGCACCAGAGCTATTTTTCAGCTGCTCAGAACTCATCTGAAGAGGGACTTGAGGTAGAAACAAGTGATTCAGCTCCATTAAGCTCTAAGCTCCCTCATATTAAATGCACTTTCAGTTCTACTCCTGTCTGTGTGTGTCATTGACTCTACAACTTCATTCCTCTCCCATATGATGCAAGAGCTGTGCAAAAATTTGGTGAAGAAGGGCTTTGGTCCAGAAAGAATCTGATTTTTGCACCAGGTGGATGGGGAGCTGCTCCCCACCAAGCATACCTGGGTTTCCAATGGGAGGTTGTGCAGTGCCATTCAGAGAATGCTTTTGGCATCCATGGCTGAAGCTGAGCTGTTGTCCTACAGCTTAGCAAGTCATGCCAGCATTTAGTTAGCACCTGTCCAAGCTGACTCTGACTTGCTCACCCTAAGTGCCCTGCTCTGAAATCTGGCTTCCAGATTGCTGATCTATGGAGCTGATTCCCATTTATTTCAAGAAATGTTGTTCCTACATTTGTGGATCTATTCCTTCTCACTCATTTCTTCCCGATACCCACAACTCAGGTTCCTAATGCACCCAAAGACTCACTCACTCCTCTTTTTATCTCAGTCTTTTTCAGTCTCAGAGCACCCACTCTGGGCCAAAAAGGGGAAGTGGAGGGTTTACTGTGCTTTTAGGGGCATTTACAATGTCCTAGAGGGGTACATTTCACTCCCTACTCCACCCCTCATCCAAACACACACACACACACACATATACACACACACACACAAGATCTGGAGTCCTCACAGAATAACACAAAAACTGATCCACGTTAGAAACTGTTTCTTTCATGTGTGATGAAGTGTGAACCACAGGAAGTGAAATGTGAAACCCATCCCTACTCATCTTCCTAGGGTATCAGAAAAATTGAGGTGAAATGAAAGGAGATAGAATTATCAACAGTGTTTTTATCTGGATGTATGTGTATATATATATTATTGTTTGGGATTCATTGAGGGTACAAAGAATTAGGTTACACTGATTCCATTTGTTAGATAAAGTTCCACTTATAATTGTGTCCCACCCCAAGAGGTGTGCCATATACCATATCCCCCACCTCTCTCCTTCCTCCCCTTTCCCCACTCCCTCATTTCCCTACCTCACCCCTTGTATTAGCTCATCTACTGCCTTCATATTAGAATTGAGTACATTGGATTCTTGCTTCTCCATTCTTATGATGCTTTACTAAGAATGTGTTCCACTTCCATTCAAGTTAATACAGAATATATAAAGTCTCCATGTTTTTTAGTGGCTGAAGAGTATGCCACATATACATATACCACAGCTTGTTAATCCATTCCTGGGTTGGTGGGCATTCGGGTTGTTTCTGCTGTTTGGCCATTGTAAATTGACCTGCAATAAAAAATATCCCTATGACAATCAATCCACAAATGGATCAATAAACTGTGGTATATGTACACCATGGAATACTATGCAGCCCTAAAGAAAAATGAAGACTTTACCTCCTTTATGTTTACATGGATGGAACTGGAAAATGTTCTTCTTAGCAAAGTATCACAGGAATGGAAGAAAAAGTATCCAATGTACACAGCCCTTTTATGAAACTAATTTATAGCTCTCAAATGAAAGATACAACTTAATTCTAGCCCAAGAATATGGGGAGGGAGTGGGGAAGGGGAAGGGAGAAGGGCGGCTGGGTGGTAGGAGGGTGACTGGAAAGATCACCTATATATCTGTCTAACAAGGGTACAAGTGAACTTTTCTAGAACTAGAATATAAATGTTTTGACACAATGACTAAACAAATGACATGAAATTTGTATGAACCAGCTTGATGAAAGTATTTCAAAATGTATATAAAAACACTACACTGTACCCCATGTTTGCATTAATGTATACAGCTATCATTTAATAAAAAAGAAAAAAGAAAAATATATCCCTATGACAAAAGAATTTTTTTTCTTCTAGGTAGATGCATAGTAATGATATTGCAGGATCAAATGAGAGGTCCAGTTTGAGATCTTTGAGGGTTCTCCATACTTCCTTCCAAAAAAGTTGTATTGGTTTGCAGTTCCACCAACAGTATAAAAGTGTCCCTTTCTCTCCACATCCATTCCAGCATCTGCAGTTTTGAGATTTTGTGATGTGGGCCGTTCTTACAGGGGTTAGATGGTATCTCAAGGTAGTTTTGATTTGCATTTCTCTAATAATTAGGGATGATGAGTATTTTTTCATACGTTTGTTGGCCATTCATCTGTTTTCTTTAGAAAAGGTTCTATTCATGTCTCTTGCCCAGTGATACATGGGATTGTTGGATTTTTTTGTTGTTGTTGATTAATTTGAGTTCTCTATAGATCCTATTTATCAGTCTCTGATCCAACTCACAATACACAAATATCTTTAACCATTCTGAAGGTTGTCTATTTGCTTTGGTTGTTGTTTCCTTAGCTGTACATATATTTATATAAAAGATATGTTGCTTCTTTATGTTACTGGGAAACAAAACAAATTGTCCTGCAGCAGTATGAGACAGTTTTCTTAGGTTAGAAAGTGAAATAATGAAAAGAACTATGGATCTTTGGTATAACTCGAAAAATAGTGATACTTTGATCATGATGTTTTTACATGATTGTATTCTTTAAAATTATAGTCTATTTGAAAAAATGTTTACCCTAAAAGTCTTATTATCCTGAGGGTTTTCTTGTTTAATTGGTAGATAAAATCTTCTGTCATAGTGAACAGTTTCTCCCAGCACCAAAATCAATTAACCAACCAAACAAAAATATCTTCCAATCATGCTTTTGTTAATTTCTTGATCAGCATAGGTTAGCTTCTATAACAAATATCTCCTATATCGTGACTCACACATGTGCAAGTCCAATGTGAGTTAGCAAGATTTTCACTCCATGCAGTCCTAAAGCGACCCAGGTCCTTCCTCTCACATGGTCTCCCCATCATTTAGTGCCTTGCCCACCTCTGAATTTAGGCACAAGAGCAGGTAAATAGAATGAATATGGAGAAGCTACCCCTGCACTTACCCACTTGCAACCAGAAATGGCATACATCCCTTCCATTCTCATTGGCTTACATATAACTTGGTCACATGCCCCTACCTATCCTAAAAATTCAAGAAATTTAGCTTATTAGTTTTGTGTGTAACCAAAAGAAAGGAACACACAGATTTGAGTGGATTCTTTGAGCTTCTCCCTTAGTCTACCCCTCCTGGTCTTCAAATACTCATTTACTCCTTTTGTCTCATAAGCAGAACACAATTTCCCAAGGAAGAAACTCCATAACCCCACCCATCTCAAAAATCTAGGGACTCTACATGGTACGAAATTCTATCATGTGTTCATATGACTCCCATTGATTCAGAAGATTAGGAAATAAACAAATGTACCACTTTTCCCTGTCACCCAGTTTCCAATGGCAGTGCAGGCACAGGAAACCTAAAGAAAAGCTGCAGTGTGCAAAAGGAAAAAAAATGGTGGGAAATGGCAGACACTAGCCCCCATTCTGGAGTCCAGAATGGCTTTGTGAAGTCACACTCTTCCTCAACATCCCCAGAAGATATAGAGTTTCCCTGATAAGACATTGAGTCTGCTCTCTAAAAGGAACTCCTTTTTACCTTGTGCATTTTTCTGCCATTAGTAAAATTATTCCTTCTACTCTGTTCTCTGTGATAAAACCTGAAGTGTGCATTGTGGATCATGCTCTTTTTGGTTAGGTAACATCACAGCTCACTTTAAAGCCATGTGTCATTTAGGGCTCTTGGAAACAGGTTTGGATTGGTTTGGTTTGGTTGTTTTGAGATCCAACTTATGGTTTCTTTGGCAATATGAATTCTCAAAAACTCAGTAGACTGGCTCGGTGCCTGTGGCTCAAGGGGCTAAGGCACCAGCCACATACACCTAAGATGGCAGATTCAAATCCAGCCCAGGCCCACCAAACAACAATGATGGCTGCAACCAAAAAATAGCCAGGCATTGTGGCAGGTGCCTGTGGTCGAAGCTACTTGGGAAGTTGAGGCAGGAGCCTCAACTTGAGCCCAGTAGTTGGAGGTTGCTGTGAGATGTCTACGGCACAGCTTGAGGCTCTGTCTCAAAAAAGAAAAAAAAAAAAAACTCAGTAGACTCATCTATTTGCTTCCAGTCAGTTCTTTGTGGTTGTAACCATACCTAGCTGTCTTTCCCAAACAAAATTCTTATGCTTATCTTATTTATTTGCTTCCTTTCCCTTTATCTTTCTTCTCAACTGTGACTTCTTTGACACTATTTGAAAAAAATAGATAGGAAGGCATCAAACTGTAATCTAATTGTGGCTGCAAACATGAGTCTTAATGAACTTTTATCTCTCAGGACCATTCTAATTTTATCACTAATATCTAGAAATAATCAGTTTTCCCAATTCTGCAGATTTCTAGTTTCCCCCATTTCCTTCATTTCTATATGCAAAAGAGCCAATTTTTCTTTTTCTCTTAAAATAACTTCATTGAGATAGAATTCACATACCATAAAATTTACACCTTTAAAGTGTGCATGCAGTAGTTCTTAGCATAATCACAGGTGTATAATCCTCACCAAAATATAATTTTGAATAGTTTAATCACATACTCCCAAAACTTCTTATCAATGAGCTGGCAAAGTATGTCTCCCCTCTTTCAAGACTTTGTACTTTTGAAGGTGGAGCATGATGGCAGATGGGAAGGACTTTTAGCTCAGCTTTCCTGGAACAACAGGTGAGAGTGAGTGGGCTAGATCATTCCCAATGCAGAATATTGGTGTGGAGTGGCAGTTTGGGGTGTGCAGCAAGGTGGTGGATTGCTGGACTTGGAGTGTAATCCCAAGCTGCAGAGACTGCCAGGAATGGTTCTGCCACACAGCTGC